AGGCGTGCACGATTACTGCATCGCCTCCCCCTCCCCCCTTTCCAGAGAAGCGCACTATGCAAATTCAGTACGACGCCACTACAGGGCAGGTGGGGAAAAGTGGTGCGGTTTGGTGTACCCATTGTGATGGGTGCGGCCTTTCTGCCTTCGAGGAATAGCTTCCCCCATTCAGAAAATGGGGAAAGAAGGGGGGAGGAGGTATTGAGGTAACGTTTGAGGGACAGTGAGGAAGGGGCGAGGTAGTAGGCAAGGAAGAGGGGCAGGGGCGAAGGGACGAGAGATGACGGGGAGTGGAGGAAGGGGCAGGAGAGAAGGGCAACCTAAAGCGATTGTGTGTTGTGCTGCTGCTGCTGATATTCGACCTGGGTGCTGAATGATGCGGGAGCGAGGGAGGAGCTCGACGCATCGCCCTGCTACCGCCGCTGCTGCTGCGAGGGCAGTACTGTAGCTCGATTGGAAGAGATTGGGATTTGAGGGAGAGAGCGAGGCGAGCAAGCGAGCACGGCTGCCTGCCTGGCTGCTTGCCGGTCGGTGAGCAGCAGCATTCTGGCGGCAACGTGTGCTGGCTGGGGGCCAGGCGACACGCTGCGGCGCACTTCCCTCCCTCGGCAGTCGCAGATCGCTTCGCTCAACGGCTACTACTCGCGCTATCATCCGCACGGCTCCACTACCACTCGTCCATCTCCCCCAGTGCTCATTGCTGCTCTTTTCTGCAGTTAAAAACCCGAGAATGTATGTAGGTAGGCGTACATGCTGTATATGTGTGTATGTACGTTTGTATGTGGGTGTATGCACAAATATATTTGTGTACTCTCGTAAGTACTGGCATATGTATGTATGTATGTGTGTGTATGTCTGTGTACATGTGTGTACACATATATAATACGCATTGACGTTGGTGGTGGTTCGCAAGCAGAGAATTTTCATATTTCTGAAATTTTTTAAATTTTCGGTGTTTGGTTATTTCTTTGGAAGGATTTTTTGCGCGTAGCGGTGATACCCAGCCAAAAGTAGTAGAAGCAGCAGCAGCAGGGGAGATGAGTACAGTCGACGAGCAGCGAGTGGCCGAGAAGAGGAAAATCGACAATGAGAACGACACTGCAAATGGTGTGCCAGCCGCCAAAGGCGCCAAACTGGAGAATGGAGTAAGTTTTCACGACCATTTTTCTGTTGAGAAGTACTGGAGGGAGTGAGGACAAACCCTGGGACTGCTTTTTGATCGAATATTGGGAGCCGGGGCTGAAACACGGAACCCTTATGGGTAGCTCCGCGAGTGGAAAAAAGTGTGGTAGTGCCTGGCTGCCTAAGCATTTGAGGTACAAAAGCACTGAGCAATTTCTTTGGTCATTCCCAGTGAGACAATAATTTTTCCAGCCTGGGCTAGTGAAAACCTGCGTGCGGCTCGGTGGATTTCTGTCAGGCTTGTGTTCTCGGCCTTCCAGTGCAAAGGCTATTTCGCAGCGCTTATCTCTGGTTTTTATTTCAGATAGCAGCCGGCGATATGGCTTTGAAGGCTGATGCAAAAGCTGACAAAGCAGCAACGCTGAAAGGTTGGTACTCGGCCATGTTTAGATGAATTTCGT